ATAATTTTCCTTTTCCATATATTTTTCGATTGCAATCCTCCCTGATTCCCACACTCTTTTCATTTTCTTTTGGGAGGGGGGGGGGCGGCGAAATGTCGCACTAGGTGGTTTTAAAATTCCCAAGGAAATACCCAGATCCGTGGAAAAATTTTGCCTAACAACAAAGCTGCACAAGAAAAATTTGGAAGAGCTTAGTGGAACTAAAAAATTATTGAATGACACATGTCCTGTGTTGTTCACACTCTTTTCATTGCTTCTTTGATCTTTTCACCACTGAGATCTGAGGCGCGATAATACTATTAGCATTGTAATGATTAGAAAAGGCGTCAACAGGTTTAAAGAAAAAATTCCCCACCTTAAAATGTCTCTACCGCGGATTTTCATCAACAAAAATAACAAAAAGTGATCGATTCTTGAAATCAATTTTTCCCCCTAAGGATCAAATTCTTCAGTATCATTTTTCAAAAATTGGTTTTGACGGTCAAGAAAATTTATTAGACCGCGAGGGAGAGGGGGGGGGGGTGTTTACACAAAATGCAAAAGTGACATTAATGAAAAGGGTAACGCATTGTTCATTGCGCAAGCTTTCGCTAAGCACACTTCTCGCGGTGAACCTTTCCAGTCCATGCGCGGGAATGTGCGCTTTATGCATTTACGAGTAAGTGTAAGGCGCTAGCATACAACTATTCGTGCTCGAGGGATGTCCGCGTTGCATATTCAAAAATTGAAGGCGCACTCGTTTTCTTCACGCTCACGGCACAACTGCCAAGTGACTCGCAAGCGTCGTATTATTTTAAGTCGGCTGTGAGTAAAGACACAAGATTTCATTACGTTTCATGAAATTTCTTGAAACTTTTTGGTGGACACAGAGTGTCATAAAATGCCACGATATAGTGAAAAAAAATTTTAATAAAAAAGTTATTGCGTGACCTAAGCGTAAGCTGGGAAAATAGGTAGAGTCAATTAGAGATGTTGGACATGATCTTTTTTACTAAAACTGCAAATTTTGATGTTTATTTTGTCACATTGTAAATTTATAGGGGTGTTTCTTTAAGCTTTCACGAGGAAATCAATGGAACCTCTATTAGACCTCAAATTTAGGTGTAAACAGAGTTTTAAGCGTTTAAAGTTTCCTACTTTTGTCCGACCTTCCCTATTGACTCGATCCCTTGTGCGACGTTGCGTAGTAACAAAGTCGAAGAAAAACAAAGTTGAAGTTAATTCCGCGGATTTTGTTTCAGTATGCAACTCAGTCAAGGTTTCATCAGGTATTTACCATGCGTCTATCTTATACTAACGTGCTAGGGAAGAACACCGCATGAAAATTCGAGAGTTGCCAAATTTCCTTCAGTAAAATGTTTATTTTTAAGAAAAGTTATGAATATTTTTCCTTGAAATTTTCAGGAACTTCATGTTAAATAATAGACCACTAGACAAGGTACGAATTTAAGCAATCTGATACAAGTTTCTTAACCAGAATTTCACGCAAAACACGATTCACACAACGAAAATTACTGAAACCAACTCTTAACGAAGATGTTAACGTTTTTATTTCAGATTGGTTACAAGGAATTTGAACTGCCCGCTGACAAAAAACTCAAAACTCTACGTGAGTCAAATCGCGCATTAACAACGGTTTCAGCAAGCTATCTCAATCGAGCAATGTTCATTTCCCACCATGTGTTTTTCAAACCATTAGCAATTTGCTATAGCTGAGCCAAAGCGTCAAAGTTAAGGTTGCCAGATTTTTATATCGCAGAGACTGTCATGATAACGTTTAGCGCACGATGTGAATCACGTAAAGCGTTGAGTTTTCATGAGCGGGTGGTTTGAATTCACGCATCAAGAATCATTAAATATCTTCGTATGGAGTTGATTGCGGTAATTTTTGTTGAGCGCATCGTGTTCTACGTGAAATTTTAGTTGCGAAAGAAGTATCAGAATGCTGAAATTCGTACCTTGTCTAGTGGTCTATTGCGAAGAAAATTATCTGAAAAATTGGAAGGAAAATATTCATAAGTTTACCAGGAAATTCGTGGTTTATCAAAGGAAATTAGGCAACGCCTGAAGGTTCATACGGCGTTCTTCCTTAGGACGGCAGAATAGGAAGCAACATTCGACTATGCCGCGTTTGTTGGTAGACGCCGCGGATTTTGTGTCAACGACTCTCGCGTCGAGCCCGGCGGCGTCGCGACGCGTCTCAGCTTTGAGCGTCGGTGACAGGAGTGCGAGCGCCTTGCCAACGGCGCCCCGCGAATCCGCGATCCGGGGCGTATTTCAATCCACACCGGGCGCGAGATGCGATAACTCCCCCGAGTCACAATGTTTGCACACACTCCTTCACCGGCACGTTCTCTCCTCGGCCGTTCTCGCTGATGAATGCCCCTCCTGTAAATACACGTCCGCCGAGGAAAACAAAATGACGCCGGTAGCGCGACAATGGAGATGTTGCATGTGTGAGGGATTTGAGATTTGTCCATTGATTCTTATGTAAAAGTTCGCGAGAAACACGATGGTGCCACTGGTTTTCTCTGAAATTATCTCCCAAGTTCAAAAAAAGCTCTCAAGTTGAGGCCAACATGGTGGGGATATCCCACCCTACCCTAAGATTCCACCTCTACATCAAAACAAAATCTCCATGCAAAGATAGGGAACAAATACATTGACAGGGCTGCCACTTCATTTGGGGACTCCAAAACTGAAAACGCGGCAACCCTGCTAATGTATTTGCTCCCTATCTTTGCATGGAGAGTTTGATTTGACGTAGAGATGGACTCTTAGGGAAGGGTGGGATATCCCCTCCATTTTGGTCTCACTTTGAGAGCTTTTTTTGAGCTTGGGAGATGATTTCAGAGAAAACCAGTGTCACCATCGTGTTTCTCGCAAACTTTCACATGAGAATCAATGGTCAAATAGCCAATCATCTTCATTCTTCAACTAGTCATGCAGGAAGAGGAAAAGTCCGGGGGGTCGCTGTCATTTCGGTGTGTGGTGTCCCGCTTCAAAATGGACGCATTTTGGAAACTCCACAGAACTTTTCTTCCTGCAGGTTGATAGTTGACACTGATAGACGAAGCAATGGAGAAAGAAGACACAGGGAGTATAAAGCGATCCTATTGGTTGCACTGGGTAGTTCCTACAGGCTGACGTATAAAATAATGTACTAGCCTTGGCGGTCTCTCGTGGGATGCCATTCGTTAGTCAACTACCTCCGCTCCTTTGTCCAGTGGAACCACCCGCTCCCACCAATAGGATCCTTCCACATCCCTTTTGTCTTCTTTGTCTATAGCTTTGTCTATCGATTCCAACAATCAGCCCGCTGATCTCAAACCCCATTATCGGCCCAACAAAAGCGACGCGCGCGACATTCTTCTTGCAGTAAGGCTTCAAATGTAGCGATAATGGCCAAAAAAAATGTATCATTCCAAAATGAGACAAACAAAGTTTTTCGGATGCAATAATGTCTCCTGATCCCAAAAAAATCGTTGTCCTTTCAGAAAAGTAAGGTTAACGGAATATTACCCGGAAATACTCAACACTTCGTGTTACATCAGTTGATAGTCGGAAACACTCACTGTTTGCGGCCTTCATTTTTTCGAGTAGGCAACACGGACATCCTTCGAGCCTGAGAAGTTGCAGCCATAGGCATGGCATGGATGGTAATGGCTCGATCACCTCATTTCCATTAACCATTCCATTTGGCCATAACCATAACATTACATTCGACCTCAGCGGCACGTTCTTCTAAGTGGCGAGGCGAGAATGATCGATTATCCACATTTCCCCATTTGAAACTATGGTAAAGAATCGATTATTAAGGTGTTCGCTGCGATCAATCTATGTATTCTGCAGCACGCCGAGCCGGTTCTTTCCCTTCCGCGACACGATTGGTGTTTTTGAAGGGACATACGCTGCTGCGGCAAAGATTAAGCCAATAAAATAAAATAAATGAATAATCAACATATAATGGAGACTTACATTGAACGTGGTGAATCCTTCTGGGATGGTTTGTCCGCCATACTTCAAGTTAAGGGTGTAGTCTCCCTCTTTAGTGGGCTTGAAAGTCACGTCATAGTCACCGCTGGGCGTCTCACGGACCGTTGTGTCCACTTCACTGCATAAAAAATGGGAAAAAGTAAAATTGATTACATTCATCATTGTCGGAGTAAAAAAATCAAAAGAGCAATGCTGTCAGGTGGTTTAAGACTCAGAGTCAGTACAGTTTTCCGCTAAAAAAAGAAAGAAGCAAAGTCAGGGTCATTACGTCACCAGAAGCTCATCATCCACCTTGTGGGTGGGTTAACATCGGAAAACATGGGTGATAACAGTTGCTCCCTTATAATTGTCCACGAGGAGGTGTTGATACCCCAAAAGTAAAAGTTTCCACCTGCCACCACGAGGCCAATAGAGGGTTTCTTGTCTCTAATAATGGAAATGTTGCATGTGTGAGGGATTTGCGATTTGACCATTNCGGCAATCGGCTGACAACTTTAATCCCTTTTTTTTGGCGATTTTATCAGTCGCTAGGATCATCAACATCTGAGCGATCATCCTCGATCTTATCGCGATAAAATCGCAATTTTTTCGGGCCGATAAAATCGCAATAAAATCGCGAAAAGATCGAGGATAATCGCTCAAATGTTGATGATCCTAGCGATTTTATCGCCGATAAAATCGAGGATAATCGCGACTTTATCGGCGATAAAATCGCGATTTTTCCGTTGAAAAATGCTACTTGGGTACGCGACCTCAGCGGCACGTTCTTCTCAGTGGCGAGGCGAGAATGATCGATTATCCATATTTCCCCATTTCAAGCTATGGTAAAGAATCGATTATAAAGGTGTTCCCTGCGATCAATCCATGTATCCTGCAGCACGCCGAGCCGGTTCTTTCCCTTCCGCGACACGATTGGTGTTTTTGAAGGGACATACGCTGCTGCGGCAAAGATTAAGCCAATAAAATAAAATAAATGAATAATCAACATATAATGGAGACTTACATTGAACGTGGTGAATCCTTCTGGGATGGTTTGTCCGCCATACTTCAAGTTAAGGGTGTAGTCTCCCTCTTTAGTGGGCTTGAAAGTCACGTCATAGTCACCGCTGGGCGTCTCACGGACCGTTGTGTCCACTTCACTGCATAAAAAATGGGAAAAAGTAAAATTGATTACATTCATCATTGTCGGAGTAAAAAAATCAAAAGAGCAATGCTGTCAGGTCATCAGGTGGTTTAAGACTCTGAGTCAGTACAGTTTTCCGCTAAAAAAAGAAAGAAGCAAAGTCAGGGTCATTACGTCACCAGAAGCTCATCATCCACCTTGTGGGTGGGTCAACGTCGGAAAACATGGGTGATAACAGTTGCTCCCTTATAATTGTCCATGAGGAGGTGTTGATACTCCGAAAGTAAAAGTTTCCACCTGCCACCAAGAGGCCAATAGAGAGTCTCTTGTCTCTAATAATGGAGATGTTGCATGTGTGAGGGATTTGCGATTTGACCATTGATTCTTATGTAAAAGTTCGGGAGAAACACGATGGTGCCACTGGTTTTCTCTGAAATTATCTCCCAAGTTCAAATAAAAGCTCTCAAGTTGAGGCCAACATGGAGGGGATATCCCACCCTACCCTAAGATTCCACCTCTACATCAAAACAAAATATCCATGCAAAGATAGGGAACAAATACATTGACAGGGCTGCCACTTCATTTGGGGAATCAACAACTGAAAACACGGCATCACTGCTAATGTATTTGCTCCTTATCTTTGCATGGAGAGTTTGTTTTGATGTAGAGGTGAACTCTCAGGGTAGGGTGCGATATCCCCTCCATTTTGGCCTCACTTGGAGAGCTTTTTTTGAGCTTAGGAGATGATTTCAGAGAAAACCAGCGGCACCATCGTGTTTCTTGCGAAATTTTGCATAAGAATAAATGGTCAAATCACAAATCCTTCACACATGCAACATCTCCATTGATAATTTGATTCCACAGGTTGGCTGCTCTTTTGGGTCCTGAGAGCTCCATGGCCTAACCTCAAAATCACCGGACATATCCGAACACTGCCTGTATAGGTACTCTCCCTTAGATCTGGGGCCTTGTCGAAGGGTTCATGAAATGAGCGATGCGTGTGCAAAACGAGAGACACCTCCGAGTTTCATCGGCCTATAAATACTCGTCATAATCCGCCATCGATACATTAGTGTCGCCTCCTGCTCGGCGAATGTCGGAAATAAGCGAGCCGTTCAATGTTAACAAATTAAGGTTTGAATGAGCATGGGCGCAGGTGGGCTATTTTTAGTCGTTTTTCAATTATTTCACGCAGAATATCCCGAGCACGGCAGCCGCACACCTTCATAAATTGACCAATAATTCACTTGAAATGGGGAACCGCCGCCGGATTATAAATAGGGCTAAGTAGTTCTCCCCCTTTCCGCCTCCCTTCGGCGATGGGCCTGCCACGCCCCGAGCAGTGGCCCTAATATTTTGAGGAAAAAGTCCTTCACTTTAATTTCGCGAGTGGATTTGGTCAAAGTTTTTAACTTACTGCCAACCTCCGTTTTAACACAACAAAATTCTCTCCTGGCAACGGTGCGCCTATAACATTTCGACCAGTGGCAGTAAGTAAAAAACTTTGACCAAATCCACTCGCGAAATTAAAGTGAAGGACTTTTTCCTCAAAATATTAGGGCCACTGCTCGATGCAACGATCGATTATCGATATTTCTCCATTTGAAGCTATGGTAAAGAATCGATTATTAAGGTGTTCGCTGTGAACACAGTGTTCATCGATCCTTTTCCATATGTTTGAATAAGAGATCTATCGATACATCGCAAAGCACGCCACGCCACTGATTTCGACGGTGCAATCCGCAACCGCGTTTCTCGTTAGCAGTGTATCAGACTATTATAAAACTACTTCAAACTTTGATCCAGCTAAATATTTAAGAGTGTCCCACAATTTTTAGGGTCCTAAGGGGAGGGGGTCCGTTAGGTGTTACATAGGGGAAGGGGCCAAAAATGTCGAAAAAGTGCGTTACATTATTTGTGAACGCTCTTAAAGCTATTAAATTACTTTTTAAGGATAAACAGGTCGCTCTTTGCTGCCTTTCTTTGTTTCCTCGTACGGGAACTAGCCGTGGTTTTTCGGAACGACCTATATACATGTTGATTTCTGTACTGCAGAATAAGCGGTATTCTTATTTTTTCACAAAATATTTTAAAGGAGGAAATTTCCACTAAAGGTGAAAGTACCTACTGACATTCACTACCAAAAATATTATAATAGAGGGAACAGGAGACATCTATTGATTATTAGAAATCACGCAGCGAGAAACACGAACCCATTGAACTGCTACCGTTTTCTTAAATGCACTCGTGTTGCTATCTTTCAGGGATTTGCCTTTAACTTCGGAGCATGGTGTCCGGAATTCTCATTTTCCTCAATTCCCTGATGACGCCCCGATTCTTCCTGATTTTCACGGAAGAATTACCTGATGAAAACTCAGGATTTCCACTTGTTTTCCTCTAGATTTTCTTACCTAAATTCAGATTTTTCTCCAAAGCTTGCGGGGGAAAAAAATCAACTTCTTCATCTTTGGTCAGATTCTATAAAGCCGAGTTAAGACAAATCGCCAATTTTAAGAGTAATATGATTTCAGAGCGAAGGGAGAGGAAATTCCCAGTTTTCAGTATCAATCCCAGGGTTGCCATAATTCACAAAATTCTCTGACTTTTTCAGTCTTTTCCCTGACTCCAAAATTCTCGGAATCCCTGACCTCCAATAAAACTTCCGCTTTGATTTTGTCACTTGAAATTACTCTCACTACTGCTAAACGGACCTCGCAAAATTTCCTGACTTCTCCTATGAATTCCCTGATTTTCTCTGACTTTTCCCCGTAGCCGCATTCCCTGACCTTCCCTAAATTTCTCCGTTTTCTAGACCGCCGGCAACCCTGCAATTCCCTAACAAATTCCCTGATATGATTTTCCCGGATATGTTTCATACCTTCATGAGTCCCGGTTATTCCTGAATCTCCAAACCCCGAACACCATACTTCAGAGCCGATGAAAAAAAAGACCAAATTTTACCCAAAAATATGGCACCCCTGGCATGAGTGTTATTAATGAGGGGGGAGGGGGATCTCTGGAGGGCTCAAGGGAGGGCACCGTCATACAGGAACCGGCGAATAGAACTTACGCGAAGCAAATTCAACTGAGGTTCTTAGTTTTGTCTCAGTCCATTTAACAAGCGTCGAGTGTTTTGAACGCAGATTTGGGGTCCGGCCAGATTGGCACGCCTAGTGCGGCCCCTCTCCTCACTTTACCATGGGGGATCCTCCCCCCCCCCCTCTAATACTCCAATTGAAGGGGGACGACGTTCATCCGGTACTACTTTGGTGTACTAAGCAACGAGATTCTCTAACATTTTCGCAAAAAAAAAAAGTCTAAAAAGGTTGAACGGTTTCTGCAAAACAGGACGGTTCCCATAGAGCTTAGGTTGGGATTGGTTCAACAGACTGAGAAAAGTCAACTTTCAAAAATATTCAATTTTCTTGGTTTCAAAATTGGTTTCACTGCCCTGAGGAAAAATAGACGAACATTACGACGTATATAATTTCACTCGTGTTTCCTTATCTCCTTTTGACAAAAGCATACAAATAGACTTGAAATAAACATTAAAATAACATTTCTTATCTTATCGCAGAAAAAATCAAGGCGGATTATAAAGTGTTCGCGTTGGTTTACGCACATAAAAATAGGCAGTAGAAAACTTGCAACGTCGCAAATTGAGGTATGCATGTTAATGCGTAACTGCACGCGCGCCGTCAAGTCGAAGCAATATTCTTGAAGGCGCTTTGAGCAACTATTCCACCACGGCAGTATTGCACAGTATCAGACGAAAATGAAGGCGCACTGCCGAATGTAAACTGACTGGTATTGTGTGGGGTGGAGTCCTATTGATCCTACGATCTACGGTTCCATGTTTGATCTATTTTTGTGAAACTTCATGAAAGCGAGCAAGTTGACCAATATGGTATAAAACTGAGTTTGCCTCATGAGTTGCGCTCATGTTTGCCTCAGGGTTAAAAGAACCTTTGGTGAACACTCTAAAATTACCATATATGGCTTTATATCTTTGTTAGAAGAAAATTCGGGGGAGTAATTTTGAAGATCTATCGTTCTCCCAGTTAAAATTGAAGTGGAAAACATATCAGAATTAAGATTTATTTTCCTAGTCCAGAACTTTTCAAAGATGTGCTTGCAAAATTGGTACAATTTGGTTGCAATTTGTTTTTTCCTTTCTAGAGCTCATTTTTTCAAACTAAACTTGTTACGTTGGGTATTATTTCTAGCAGTTTCAACTTTCAACGTTTATTTCCTGAGAAATTGAAGCTACACCCAAACAAGTCGGAATACAGGAAACAATTATTAAAATAGTACTGAACTTCTGCGAGCTGATTATTGAAATTGATAGACAAAGCTATATACAAAGGAGATAAAAAGAAAATGGAGGGATTCTATTAGTGGAAGCAGGTGTTTGCAATGGACAAACGAGGTAATTAATAGACTAACTAAGGGCAACCCACCAGATATATTTTAATTAGTCCATCATTTTCTCCCTTAGTCTATAACAACCACCAGCTTCAGCCAACAGGATCGCTCCCTTTTTCCGTTCTATTTTTGTCTATCGCTCTATCTATCAATTCAAACAATCAGCTGCCTGATCACAACACCTTGCTTGAAACCTATTACCTACCTTGTTTAAACTCAAACTTTTTCAACGGAAACATGTTAGTTACTTATTTCCCTCTTAGTTCGGTGGGTGCGATCAAAATCGACGATTTTTTTATTGGAAATTGACACTTCGGGAGGTCATTCTAGATGAAAGAATTTTTCGTTTTTGTCCGTAGAGCCACTTTAAAATTCGTGCAGAATCCAAGATGGCGGCCAAGTGTTTTTTTGAAGTTATCTCCCCACCGGTGTCTTTAGACTCGAACGCACCTGCCATTTTCCAGCTTTGGAGGGCGGCGCTTCTCGATTAGCGACAGCAGTAACTTTCGATTTTAACGTCACCTCTTAATCGTGTTTATTGTTTTAGCGAAACGAAACGAGGTGATGAGTGTTTTCACGTTCACCGCCGCCCGCCCTGTTTGCGCCACGCTCTGCCAACGCCCGTAAATCACTGCGTAACACACTTTCAACGTACCAGGCTAGCCGGAACGTCCCGTGAAATCCCACATTTCCCAACGAACCGAAGGGAACGTACAGGGCAAATTTTCCGATCTGGCAACATTAATGTACGTGCGTTTTTGCTGCCGTGCTATGAAAAAACGCCGTATGAGCTTTCGAATGTTGCCGAATTTCCTCTCGGAAAATATGCAATCCTGAAGAAAGTTATGCAGGGTGTCTAGTTTTTTCTTTTCATTTTGCGAAATCTTGATGGAATCCTGATTTTTGACTGCTAAATCCCGATTTCATAATTTTTCCAAATCCTGATTTTTGCGGAGGGAAATTAAAATTTCTGTATAAGCGTATGCGAAAGCAGAAATCTAGAATTTCGGACGGCCGACTTTTCTCAAATTCTGATTCTACGACCGATTTCCCCTCAAATCCTGATGAAATCGGGATTAAATCCTGATTTACCTCAAATCCTGATGGAATCGGGAGAATCGGGAAAATCGTGTTGCTAGACACTCAGTTATGGATAATTTACCTTGAATTTTTCAGACTCTTCAGATCAAATTGTGAACTAAATTCCCTGAAAAATTGAATGGACACTATTCGCAAGTTTCCTCGAAAATTCGTGTTTTAACGTAGGAGATTTGGCAACGCCTGAAGGCTCATACGGCGTTATTCCTTAGCACGGCAGTTTTCAGTGTACGGATCGCCGCGACATTTGCGAAAGCCGCTTTGGTCGGCGGAACCGACAAAACTTTCGCGCCACAGCCGAAAAAAGTCCGCGTTTTATTGCCCCTCTCCGTGTTAACTACTCGCATTTTCTGCGTCGTTTGTCGTCAAGCTTTTAATAACTTGCCTTCATCGAACACAAGCGCTCCTGACGCCCTCTGTGTGTGCGTTTCGTAGCTTAGGATTTGCGGATTCGTGCTCGGAGAGAGGTTCAGTTTTTATTCAGGTGTCACAGGCAAATCGAATCAGGTATTTTGTCACATGCCAAAACGGTTAGTTTTGATGGGCAAGGAATCTATCAGGTTTTTATCAAATGTCTAAGGGTGCAATACCGGGGTAGCCGCCGTTGAGCCGCGTCCACATCACGCCGACCAATGACAATCGCCCTATCAAAATTCAGGCTGAATACCAAGAGAAGATTGCCGAACATAAAGAAAGGAGAAAAAAAATTCTAAAGTTCTTTTTTTTTCGGACAGTTTTCGAGAGATTATAATACCGATGGCCTAAGTGCGAAACCACGTTTCTCCATTTACGACGTTTTAGACTTCCTGTCACAGTTCAGCTTTTTTTTTTTTTTTGAAAACTGATCAACTTAATTTCTCGAAAACTTCCTTGATTGTTCCTCCCTGTTAGAAGGATATTCTGTATAAGTTTCAAGCTATAAAGATGGCGTCTTGGTCGTATTCCTCTTCGAACAAATATAATAGGAGTGTAAATTTTGAAACACTGCAATGAAGATACGTGTTTCGCACTTAGGTCATTGAATGTCGCATCACCGTCGTATCGCGGGAAAGAAACTTGGGCGATTCTTTGCCGTTGCAGTCTACACGGGGCGAGGCTCTGCCATTCTTGCAACGACTTGACGCGAGAAGGGAAAATAATGACGATCGAGACTTTAAATAGAATAAAAGTAACAGAGGGGTGACACTGGAATAAAATTAACGGTTAAACAAATTATTTAAAAAATAAAAAATAAAATAAAAAAAATAAAAAAAATAAAAAAAAACGATCGAAAGAATGACAACAATATGGCACGCAATTCGCTTCCGATTCGTCAACTTATTTCAGTTGTTCTTGGCACAGCGATTGATATTGAGTAACTCGATATTCGTCGATAAACGTAAACAATGGAATTATAACACATTGTTCAATCTTTCAATCTCTCGCTAGGTGCCTTCTCGCGGTGTCAGTTCGAGAGTAAGTGTAAGGCGCCGGCATACAACTATTCGTACTCGAGGGATGTCCGCGTTGCATACTTAAAAACTGAAAGCGCACTCGTTTTCTTCAAGCTCACCACACAGCTGGGGACGCGTAATCGTCGCGTTATTTCAAGTCGTGGTGGGTAAAACGCGACATTTCATTAAGTTTCACTCGAAAAAGAAAAAGAAATATTTTCACTATTCAGACTTCAACGTTCTTCGTCGAATTGTTTTCTTCTTTGCCCAATTTCTCTTGGCACGGCGGTTATTATTAAATGAGTTGATAATTGTCACCACTTTTTAAGTGCATCTGTCCGCAACGACAACTCGCGGGAAAACGTCCCCAGAAGAAAAGGTCTAAAAAGATATTCACGGCCGATCCATCTGGTTGGGGTGAACAATCGATTAGGTGTTTCGTAAAGGGCCTGCAGATCGATTATCGAAATTATGTGTTTGTATGGTGGACAAGAAGACACCAAGATGAAATGGAACTATGTGATTGGATGGCAACGTCGATCAAAAATCGGTAAAGGAATCGTGAGTTCTTTGTGACTAGAAAATCACCTATTAACTGGCCAACAACCAGTCAATTATTCGATACAATAAAGAACTGACGCATGACAATCCTGTTGCCAGTCGTCGGATCAACACAGCCGTCCAATCACATGGGTTTATTCTATCTTAGTCTATTCTTGTGCACAAGACAAACACATGATGGGTCTGTTACTTATGCAGGTAAACTGGAACGAAAATCATGATAGTCACATTAAAAAAAATTCTGGAGGTTGTTTCTGAGTGCGTAACTTGCGAGGTTTAGAACAAGTTTTTCAAATTTCCAACAACTGAGGGCAGTTTTCAGTCACTGCATGTGGAAACAAGCAACAGCGACTCGCAGCGACTTCTGGCAACTTGCTTTTAGCGAAAACTGACTATTCTAAACATAATATTTGTCAAAATAGCCTGCATATCTATTGATGAAATAGAGAGTTTGTGTGCGTGGGTATCAGCTATCATCAAATATCAAGGTTTGCTTATGAACAAAACAAATGAACAATGACAGCAAATCAGCAACAACAGCAACCACCGAGAGAGCCTGAGGTTGGCTTTTGCTCATTTCTGATGATTAAAACTGCCCCCAGACCCAGGAAAGAAAAAGCATCTTCCAGACCACGCAAATATTGTACTAAGGAGTGGATTTCAGACTTTTTTGATCCAACTGTTCTTGTGCGAAAAAAAATAGCGTAATTTTTCAATTTCGTGAGGGTTAGGTTTACAAAATTTTTTGAGACCCTCCAGAGTCAGAGACTTCATTTGATTTTGCAAAATAACTCCCACCCTAACTTTCCCTGAGCTTGAAGCTTGAAAGAATGAAAAAGCTTTCAGTCACCATTGAAATAAGGCTTGCATGGAGAACAGCCTGCCATTGTAGCAATCCCGAATAGAAGTAATGATTTCAAAAGATAAAAATTATAAACGACTATAAATAACAATCTATTGCTATTAGCAATTTTGGATTTGATTATTTTGAAAGCAATAAAATTGTGATTTTACTCTACTTTGAAAAGAATCACGATCTTGCATACTTGCTGAAGTTGGCCGAATGAACAAAAATTTTGACCCAAAAATCAAATGATGCAACAAAAATACAGCAATTTAGTAAGACTTACCTATAATTTTACAAACAAAATGAAAATATGGCACTATTATATGGCTTTATATAATTATATGACCTGTGGACACCTCATCTTTGAGTACTTCTCGGAAGCTCACAGAGAAAAATATATCACAAAAAGTTACCATTAGCTATGCCCTCTGTACCTTGAGATACGTCCTAAAGTTTAAAAAATAACTTTGAAGGTTCTTACCTGCCAGAGGTTGATCTAACTCTTCCAGTCACCTTTCCTTTTCCTGCTTGACTAGCGTTCACTTTGATATGCTGCTCTTCATTTACTGGCACAGATTTTTTGATCGGATTGGCAATTCTGCACTTGTCAGCCTGAGCAAAAAACAACAACATGAGTTTCGATCAGACTAAAGAAAAATCAAGTTTTTTTTCGATTGTTAGAAATATTTTGAAGCCACTCATGAAATGCGCGAGGCACTTAAAAAATGGGTTCAATCTAACGTTTAGAAGGGATTTCGCTTTAAAAATTGTGTTAATCTTTCAGAGCAAATTTTTTGAGTCAAAATCTGTTTTTTAAAGAGAAAAAATTGGGTCATCACTAAGAATATATTAAACAGCGTACTATCGCATTAGTTGGTGCTTTGCAAACATTTGGCAGCCCTCTCTTGGCCTCTGGAGTAGGGCTCTTATTCTAGTCCCAAACCACATACCTCATTTGCGGTGCTTGAAAATTTCCACATCCATTTTATTTTTTGAAAGGAGAACAAATCAATAACATTCCTTGAACTGTTAACAGAATTTCTTCTGCTCAGCCGAAGAAAAATCTTGGAAGTTTTGAAGAATTGACGTTGAGTAGTTTTACATTTTAAAAATAAAGTATGACAGGATGTCTGCAAGGTCGCAAACCGAGATTCGTGGTTTGGGACATTCACCGTAGACATTCGGACTGAGCATTTGGCTGTTATTTAACAAATGAAATCTTCAAACCATGATTTACCTCATCCATGAACCAGAAATTTACTTTCACCGGAATTTATCATTTAAACAAATTAGATGAATTCTGTGGATCATATAACAGCCTAGTTAAATTAGATTCCTAATAGTTAAAACTTCGGACCATTGCTTCTTGCGACATCATAAACTTAGGCCAATGAGAAACATTCATTGCAGTGCTTCAGCTTTCAGCCTCTTTTTTCTATCAAAAAAGTTGATCTGTATTTTTTCAGTCTTGGAAGTGCATCTCACACTAAAATTGACCCACTGAACACCTACTTCCATGGTAATCTCTGGATCATGCAAAACAGAAAGTACAAAAATTGAGACTACTTACATTTCCAGTTGCAATGGATTGGATGGTGACAGGCACAGGAGAAGTTTCTTTCCCACCATACTTAGTGATGATTTTGTAGCGGCCACAGTCGTCTGGAGTGAAGGTACCTTTGAAGAGACCATCACCTTTGTCACTGACAGAGACTTTTCTTGGGTATCCATCAGGGCCCTGGAATAATGAACCAAATGATTTCTATAAGCACTTGAAACAATTCAAAAATGATTTTTGAGATATTATGTCATTCTTAACAAGGCTTCTTTTTTAAAGTGGGTAAATAGTTTCTTAAAAGTGGTCACATTGATAATTATTTTTTTCGATTTCCATGAATTTATGATGAAGCACTCCACATTTAGTAGTTCAAAATTTGATAATCTTCTAGGCTACACTAGATAATCAATTGCCTCCTTACCCTCCTAGATCTGAAGAAATTATTATTTTTTCAAGTGAGTATTTATTTTTTTCAGAATGCTTTTGTTGGTATTTAAAATAGTTTCATTAAATACTTACCACAACTTTAACTTCGAGATCCCCAAAACCAGCTTGAGTTGTGTCGATGTTGAAATCTGTAGGCAAAGACGCAGGCACGCCTGGACCAGTCACACCTGGACCACTGATTTTCACCTTGTCTGGCTCAACTTTTGGCTTCACCTTAAAGCTGAATGGACTTCAAACAAAAGAAAAAACAAAACAGAATGATTATTACAAAAATTAAAATAATTTTTCATGCAAAGTTGGTATTGCTGAAAAAAATACTGATTGGTGGTATGCTAGATGGTAAGTTGTGTCTTCTGGTGGGAGATTCTGAAATTCTGAGTCTAATAAAGATTGCTTTCATAGTTTTAAACACGAGCTTTCACTTCAATGTTTGAAGTATTCAGAATTTTGGTGTTCAAGATTCTTCAAAAACGTGAAGAAGGAAAAAAAAAACAAATAATTCAGCCAAATAAAGTTTTTTTTAAAATAATTTTTGTATACAGTTAAAGAGAATTAAAAGCAAATTTTTGCCTGGACGATTGTTTTTGAAGGTTCAAGGTAATTTGAAAGATGGAAACAATAATTCTATGTTCAGTCCCTATTTTTCATCAAAACATGCTTCAAATAAGATATTGAAAATACAGGGATATTTATGCACTGAGGGAAGATAATTAGATATATATTACCTTTTTGGAATGGGTTTGTTGTCATATTTTACATTTGTTGTGAGATTGGCTCCCTCTTTGTTTGGCACATAAGTTACATCATAAGTTCCGTTTTTGTTATCTTGGATGACTGGTTTCTCAGGAAGAGGCACTGAAAAAGATCACATCATTGATGAAAAATACAAAATGAGAATGAATTTTGACACCACTGATGAATGGATAAGATTGATAAAACTACCAAACCATGGACCTTCAAGGTGGTGTTTGAAAATATCTGCTCATATTTTATTTTTAAGAGAATGCTTTTCAAAATTTTTATGCAAAATGTTCAGAGAATATTTTCAAAATAGCAAAGGAGGATCGAACAATATTCTAAGGAATAATGATGATTGGGTCTCCTTCAGAAGAGTAAAAGAAGACAGGAGCTTTGAACCATTGCAAACCAAGATACGTTGTGAGGTAGTTCTACCATCGCTATGTTTGAGTCATTAATTACCTTGAGACTTTGATTTGTTATTGAATGATCCTAAATTAAAATAGTTTTCTAAGTAAACTGAAACCTTCCCTCGATTTTTTAAGAGTTTAAGAAGTCACTTCTGAAAAATCATAGAAAATACACAAGGTGCATACTAATATTTCATTTTTGTTTTTCCTGATATTTGAAATGAAATTTTTTGATTTTTTGCACAAATAAATTGACACTCGTTTCATTTTAAACCAAGTTATTTAATGAATTGAATCAAATTTTTCACTTTTGCATGCCCTAAACTGCACGTAGTTGAAAGCACCCTGAATTTTTCAAAGAGAGTTGAGGAATAATTGCCCTAGAAACAATTCATCTTAGCAAAACCCTGAATTTTCAGGCAATGGGATTTTTAGAAATGCAAGAAAATTTAGATGTTCATTAGACATTTTTTGCTTTGATGAGGCACAGACACTGGTAGAATAAATGTTGGAGGGACACATGCATGCTTCTTTCTCAGGGATTTTTGATCAACTACTTCTAATTATGATTTCATTCAACTATAAGAACGGGATGACTTCCAAATTCTTCTTATGAACTTTGACCTTCTAATGTGCATTTATTTACGAGTTGAACATACTCTACAGGAGTTTCACGAACAGACAGGTATATTAAAAAAAAATAGACATACCTCCATTACTTGTGATAGTGACATCAAGAGGAGCTTTCCCAGCTTTTGTGGTATCAATCCGGAATGTAACTGGCACTCCTTCACGAACATCATTTGCATTTAATCCAGGACCAAAAGCTTTCACCTGTTTAGAGTCGACTGTGCAACCAACAGGAACCTGAAATTTAATAATAGAAAAAAGATTTTGGGTTACTTACAGTAACTACATATGACATTAGTCAACCGCACATCATTACATGTCATCTGCCACTTTTCTGCATGTAAAAAGGCAAAATAACAACAATGGCAATATCTAAGTTAGTTACACTTTGAAATCTATGATTGATTTTTAAAAATATGAGAATTATTTTGTTTTCTGTTAGATTGATCTGAGAATATAGATGTCTCTGGTATGCTTTACACTAGAATGTTACTGATGTATAATTTAGATCTTTAGATGAGATTCAGACAACCATGGACAATTTTAAAATAAGCGCATCACCCTCACTCAAATCAGAGTAAGCCTGCTTGTTGACCTTCGATTCTTGCGTTTTTTAAAAATTAAAGAGTGCACACAGTCTACAGGAATTTTTCCCTATTTTCTTGATCAATAATAAAGTAAAAAAATTGTATTTCCCAGTTGCAAATTTTGAGCTTTCATTTAAATACATGTCACAGAGAGAGCCAAGATAATATTCAAAAATATTCGTCCTGCTGCATGTTCACTTTGGACAATGCAATTCCTCTTCTGCGGTTTATGATCTGTGCAGTCCCACACTGAAAATGGATGCACCGATCAAATTTGAGGTGGAAGAATTGCCCAGTTGGAAAATTACTAATATGGGACAGATAGTAACGGACGCCTCCTTGGTTTTCTTGGCAATGCGCATATAAATGGGAGCCTTTAAAGTCACAGTTTTAAAGTTGTTTTTCATTAATTAATATTATTCCAAAATATCGGGGATAATTTCTGTGAGGTATTTGCACGCTCTACTTTTTACAAATCCTAGAATAAAAATTACTGAAGAAGCTGGCGAATGAAAATCTCCACCTTGGAGACAGGAAGTGATTTTCTTTTTCCGTGGAAGAAAGGGGGAATCAAAGTTGAGTGGATGTTATAAAATACATTGAACACCAAAGTAAAACTAGAGTCTGAAACTCAATAGTTGATTATATGTGTGGGGAACACTGAAAAGCCCTGAAGATTATTGCCCCATGAAACACACCCTATTAAGGTGCGTGGAGCAATGCGACAAAATTAGCAGTGCAGGGCAGAGAAACCAAATTTTTGCATTGCCCCACAAAGCGTGAGGCAATGAATGTGGCATGAAAATTATTGCAGTGTCCTGCAATAGCGCAGGACAATGAAACAAAATTATTGCACAGCCAAGTGCTAAAATTTTACACCTGAAGTAGGTTAGATTGTTTGTCGCGGGGCAATGAAACAATTTGATTTTATTCTCCCGCATTATGCAGAGGAATGCAAAAATCGTTTTTCATAGCCCTACACTTAGTTTTGTTTCCCCGCGCTTCAATTTCTTTTGCATTGCCCCGCATTTTGAAGGGCAAAGAAATACCAGTTTTTTTCATGCGGCAATAATCTCCAGGAGTGAGTGTCTTATTTATGCCCTAAAACCAAACCTTTGAATTACCTTGAATGGAGATCCTGGGATATGTTGGTTCGCAAATTTGATGCTAACGTCATAGTCTCCAGGCTCCGTAGGAATGTATTCAACAGAACATGATCCATCTCGGTTGTCTTTGCATGTCATTTTAGCCTCTGATGGACCCTCAATGGCCAGTCCGAGTCCTCCAGTGCCAGCACCTAGAATGCATGACATTATGATTTATTAATGCATCTAACCTTGAAGAGTCACATAACTGAAGGAAATGTACAATTGTGATTTTTGCACGAGCCGATTTAATTACTTTTGATAACTAATGAAATCAAAGAGTAGCATAAGTAATTTTTTTCCTTTTTTTTTCCAGAAAGAAAATGATTTAAATATTTATAATTGTAATACGCCTTGGTTTAATTTGTTATCAAAGATCTTATGATGGCATTGTTTGACCTAAAGTTTTTATATTTAATCGTTGAATTCTCTTTTGCTGTTTGACTTCTTTAAATTTTTTAGGACAATTCTCTCATCACTGGTTGACTAATTCTATTAAGTTGTTTCTATTTTATTTTACTTCTTTCAGTTTCTACTTTTTTTCAATTCAGTGGCTAGAGAAAAAGGACAGTTTCAAGTAGAAATAAGTATTAATTTTTAGCCTGATCTGGGTAAAAACAGAGAGAGGAAATCAATTAGGCAAGAATAACTGAAATAAGGCCTACCTTTGGTCTCTACTGTGAATGAATTAGGCTTATCCACCAAACCCCTGTCGAGACCTGGTCCAAATGCCTTGCATTTTTTAGCGTCACATCCTGCCTTGACACTGACGTTGAATGGAGCACCAGGCAGAGGAATACCATCATACGTCACATCGATGTTATGCTTACCTGAAAGCAAAAACATAACAATATTGAACTGATGAAAAAACTTAAAAAGTTTTGGAAGGGAACATGAGCCACACTGGTGATGAAGGTTAATCAAGTTTTACTATGTTTATTCAAAATATGGAATTTTATTGCTCATGGAAAGAAGGGGTGTACTGTTGGAGATATCAATTTTCTTTTCTGTGTTCTGCTCAATAGCCAAGCAAAATATGTATGAAAAGAGAAACATTCCATTAACTTTGAACTCACACCCTTCATTGAGAAATATAGGCAACGTTAAGATAATTTAACTAAAGATGATGATAGCACAATCTGAACGCAAAATTGATATTACTGCTACTTATGTAGTTGACACGAAAATAAATGTTTGTTTCCAACAATGCGTCAATTATTTGCCATACTTGGAAGTGCAGTCAGTAATTTTAATGATCCCCTAATGCTTACAGCAATTTATTTTTCTCACAAGGAATATACAACGCAAAATATAAAAACACAAGAAGCAAAATTTACTTTAGACATTAGAATATGTTCTTTATGTACGAATTGTGATAAACTTTTTTATTGAAATTCTCACGAAAGATACCTTATCACCAGGAGGTCAACTTTTCATAAATTAATTGTTGAAATTTTAGATAATAAGTGAGTTCGAATTTTAATTTTAAACCGATTTTACCTTCCTCGAAAGGTGTATAGTTGATTTTAAATGTTCCATCTGCCTGAGGAAGCACATGACTTTCAGTATTTTTGCCAGATGGGTTCGTGATTTTAACATCAATTTTAGGAGGAACAGAAGATGCAACAGCTCTTGAATCAATGGTAAAATCGGTTGGTGAGTCTACATAAACACCTGGAACAGAAAAAAAAATAAAGTGATACAAAGGCATTAACATAATTTTTATTGTTTAACGACAGAAGTCACAGTTCGTCACAGGTAGTAAGAGAACTGCAAAAGGCCTATATCCTTTAAATTTTTATTTAATATGCTTCCATTAACCAGTGTAAGCAATAGATTTCATTTTTAAGTCCTGATAAAGGCTCGATTGACTGCTGAAAATATTGCCTGGACCAGTCGATGTGTAAGCTTTACAAATGCTTGGAAATTTCCTCTCACATACACTCGAAGCATAAAAGCTTTCAGTCATCATGAAAGAGGAAAGATCTAGAAATTTGAGAAAAATTGACAGTTCGCTGATGATCAAGTTTGAATTTCACAACCAAAGAGACAAGGAAAAAAGTAACTAATGATTAAGACGCAGGTGTAAAAATGTTTCTTCTAAAAATGTCCACGAGATGAGCTTTAAAAAAAAATGAACTGCTGAAAAAAATTCTGAGAGATTGTTGAAAAATTGTGGGCAGATATTTAAAAAGTTACTCTGATTCAAAAATTTTGATTCATCGAATTTTACAGATTACATTCAACTTGATGCTTCGGACATGAGTTAGTATAAAAAAACGATGGGAACAAAGCGTCTTGGCAATGCATGCATAAAAAAGAGTGTGAATTGAAAAAAACAAAAATAAAAACAATAAAGAGAATGATGGTCACAGTATGATGGTTAAATCAAAGGAGCATTATTTTAGGAGCATAAATGTGTTCTTATGCTCTTATCAAAATAAAAATTAAAAAAGATAAAAAAACTAAACACAAGGAAAATTTGAAAAAGGGGAAATGGCAAAAATGAATTGTTAATCAAGGATATGACTCAAAAAACAAGAGAAAAGAACAAAACAATACAAAATTCAAAAGATTTGTTGCAAATATAGTTCTTTCGGTACTCTAAAAATGAGAAAAATAAAAATTCAAACTTTTACACGGAGTTCAAACGTAAATTGGTGTACAGAAGAGGTTTATGTAACAAAAAAATGGTTGAAAATTAACGAGAAAAAAACTGATGGACAAAGGACTCTTATGAATGGCAAGAACAAAGGTGTAGCTATGAGGGTGGTCCGAGGAGGCGTGGAACCCGCTCAGGGGAAATTTTTGCCACTGATCCATTCATGGATTCTGGCCACAACATCAAGCAGGAGAACAAACTCCCTAGAATTTTCAACAATATCTGAACAAAACCAAAAACAACATAAAAAAACCCAGGCAGTATTAGCTGATTAGGCTCCACAAACACGCGCTTGCAACGACTATGTACCATGAGGTTGAATTCCATTGCCGAAGACTTTCACTTCAGACAGGTCTGTAGCTGGGTAAATGAAGGCTTGGAATGGTGAACCAGGAATATGCTCATCGTTGAACGTAATATTGATACTGTAGTCTCCAATCTCTGTTGGAAGATAGGAGACCGAACATGTTCCATCTCCATTGTCACGGCAGTTGATGGCAGCTTCACAAGGACCCTCAACAGTGACACCCAGACCACCCTGGCCTGCGCCTCTTGTATCAATCACGAAGTCTGCTGGTTTGTCAACAATTCCTTGTTCCAAACCTGGTCCAAAAGCTTTTACATATTCTGGGTTGTTCCCGTAGGTACTGATCATTCTGAACGGAACTCGGGAGATCGGTTCTCCACCGTACGAGATATTCAGCAAGTATTCGCCTAGTTCCGTTGGCATGAAATTTGCGAGGTACCCTTCATGGGTAGGAATGATGTGAGCTTGAATTTTGTTGCCTGAGGGGCTCGTAATTGCCACTGAAAGTTCAGCTTTCCCAGCTCCCAGGGTTTGGATTCTAAACTGCTGTAAACTGTTGATGATCGCAGCTGTACGGATAAAGAAAAAAGCTTGAAAAGAGTTTAACTTACACATTTTTCATGTGAATTGGTAAAAGCCGGGGAGAAAAAGGATAAAGGATACATTTCAAATATTTTGAGACTATGAGTGAAAATAGCTCTGATAAGAAAATGTTTAAACAACTCCTAGGGTTCAGGTTATGATTTTTTTTGTAAAAGAAACAAAAATTTAAACGATCAGTCGTCATTATACCTACATCAAACGGATTTCATCAAAGTATAAAGCTAGTTGACAAATTTACTCAAAAGAACAATTTTATTAAAAACAAAAATAGCTCTTACAGAACTTTCAAGAGAAACCTGAGAGTTTAAGAAAACCTGAATTTCCTATTTCATAGCTTTCAGAGACGCATAAAATACTCATTACAGTTAGTGACTGCTGAACTTCTCACGAAGAAAAGAACCTCTAAAAAGGAATGAATATGAGACTGAACAACACAAAACTGTTCAGCAACAGGTGATTTCTACTCTGATCAGTCCTCAATGGTTTATTTTCGTGTTCATAATTTTTCAAACCTTATTATTCCCACAAGAGAAATGCTCTCGGAATAGTGCTTGGTGCTTTGACCAGTTTTTTTGTGGAAGTATGTAACACACTATTTTTAGGTAGGTAAAGTGCTTAAAGACTTATCTTTTAGATTTTAAACATTGTGACAAGACAATGTTAAAAAGTTGCTCTTTGAAGTTCATTTGATCCATTGATCAGAATGACCGGATCAGTTCAGTGCATTTTAACTGAACAGCTAAAAGACAAAAAAAGGGGAAAAGATGAAAGGTGAGCATTAGATATGATGATTGCGTAAACTGGTACTTACTTGGTTCGAGGCCTTCAACTTTGACCTTGGAAATGTCTATGTGAGGATGAACCTGGACTTTGATGGGACTTTGAGGGACTGCCTGGCCACCGTATGTGCAGGTGATAGTGTGCGGCCCAGCAGAGGGAGCTGAATAATCTACGGTGTAAGTATTGTCTTCGTTGTCCGTCACACGGACTGGTAACTCAACACCCTTGTTGTTCTTCAGACTAACTTTCAGGTCTCCTAAAACAGCAATGCAGATGGATTGTGACATATTTCATGATTTTTTATAATCTGACAACATATCATTAGTGCCAAACCTTATTCTAGGTCACTGTAAAATTCTGAAACTGATGAGTGTTGCATTATTGTCAACAATGAATTCAAAGCATTGGCTCAAAGGCCTTGTCCACACGAGCGCGGTTTGCGAAACTTATTCTGAGGAACTTTTTCCCGGAACAAGTTTTAGCTGAGCTAAAAACTTATTCCTCCAAAACCCGGAACTTCCCCCGTACTCCAAGCTTCTATATTATGCTTCTTTTGATGTGAATTTGTTTGTTTTTGTTTTTTACATCCTTTACATGTCTTGTCATTTATTTTTGTATACTTTGGCGGCCGTAATTATCTATTATTTTGCGATAATTGTATAGTTTTATTGAAGTTCCCGTTTCAGTTTGGGCAAACTCGTGTGGACAGCATGCTTCGTTTCAAGGAATAAGTTCCGGGAACTGAGCAGTTTGTCGAATAAGTTCCTCGAACCGCGTTCGTGTGGACAGGGCCTAAAATAGTCCACTGTGAAGGAATTGAGACATACAATCCCTGGAGAAGAGCAATTCAGGAGAACTTTTTCACTATGAAATGAATGCCTCAGTAAACATTACCATGAAATAATTCTTAAAATTTCAAAGAATAATTTAAATTATTGGAGTTTGACTATTATTTTAATAATCTTGTGCACGTATGTAATTTAGATCACGTTTCCCTCACTATTTGATTCAGAATGTAGAGCAAAACAAAACAAAACAAGAGAGAAAAGTGAATCAGGAACTAAGGGGATCACAAAATCTGTTTACCTGTTCCTGCTTCTTTACAGTCAATATTGAAATGGGTGGGAGTGTTTGATTTTACATCATTCCCAATTCCAGGCCCAAATATTTCAACTTTAGAGGCATCCAACGGTTGTGCAACAGAGATGCGGAATGGACTTTTTGGGACGGCAACGCCTCCATAGTTCACCTGAGAAAAGGATCAAATGCATTATTATTTGAAGGAAATATGATGTTTAAATAAAAAATTACATTTAGAGAAGCTGAAATTGCTAAAAGTAGGATTTTGGAGGATACTTCCAGAAACTTTTATAGATGGAAATACATGTGATATATCATTGTATTAAATAAAATAACACAGAAAAAATAAAGGAATGACTGTATCATTATAAAAAAAATTAAAATTTGCCTCTTCATTTATTAAATAATAGAAAATATCTGTGTTGCCTTCACTCATCACAGCTCGATCATGGTTGACATTACCTGTTTGAAGATAATGATTTTGCTGTTGGCTCCGTACCAACAAAATATCATTTTGTAAAATAATGATCACGAAAAAGAAATTACAATTTTAATCTAATCCATGGATAGATGAGTGTCATAAATAGAGCAAAATGCAAAAGAGCGGGAAAGGTTAACTTAATGCAGCTGTTTGAATTACCCGTTGCACTAACTTATAAATTAGAGATACAAAAAACGACGATTATAAGGGTTTAAAATCTACAATTAGAATTCCTTACCAGAACAGTGTGTTTTGAGCCAGACCTTGGTAAGTAGGAGCAAGTGTAAGTGCCATTCTTGTTGTCCTTAATATTTACATCAATATTATTACTATTAGCATCTAAGACCTGTCAAAGGAAAACAAAATAAGTAATAAGAGGGCATTTAACAAAGCAATGGTGAGGAAACAACACTATAAACACAGCAGTAATTAAAACAGTTGCTCAGCACAAAAAGTTCTATTAGCACAAACTTGGAAGATGAATCTTATTCCAGGAGCAATCATCAATGGCAATAGAATATTTCATCATAAATTCTTTTCCCAAAAACTGCCTTATTGAATTGCCCTCCTATTTCCATTCATGAATATTTGTACTAAAAAGTTTATATGATTGCTCCTTGATTAGCAAAAAAGCAACAGTTAAAATCATTCACAGTACACCTCTTCTTCAAATTCAAAGTTCATTGTTCCGATTGTTGCATTGTTTTGCAAAGTAACTCTCCTCTAATCAAGACACATGAATTCATAATTTACCTGAACATCTAAAGGCGCAGAGCCAGCTTTTCTGGTGTCAACAGTGAAGTCTGTTGGCTTCCCCTTAATGACTCCAGTTTTCGAAACACCTTTACCATGAACTTCCACCTGAAAAATATTTCAAACATAAGACTTTAACAGGCTATCAGAGGTTTACAAAATTGAAGGGAATTATTTCTGAAGTATTCTTTGTTTCTGTCGGATCAGTGGCATCAAGTATGCTAGCTATGCTATGATGGTAAGTTTTGTTCCTTTTTTTGATAGAATTCCACGATATGGGCACATGTTTCCCATTTTAGAGGGAAAAGAAAATCATTACAGAAAATTTTTTATTAAAAGTATAGTGGAAGATCATTAAAAATTTATTGAACTTGTATGGCTCAGGAGTTTTAAACTGTGTTTTTTTTTTTTTGGGGGGGGGGGGGGG